TAAGGGTGGCATTTGTATGTGTGTTATATGATATAACTCTTTCTATTATATCCCTTAAGATTACCATGGTCTGGAATCTTTATTTCTTTGTGATTTAAAGATTTAGGATCAAGGTTCTTATTGAAAATCATAGTCTGAATGTTATAAAGATGGAGATAACAGATTTGGCCTGAAACTTTGAATAAACCTTATTTGAATAGAAAAAGGTTTAAAAGTGGCATTGTAGTAATGTGGTTTATATAACCTGTTGAGATTTGAAGTACTAATTGCAAGTAGAGATTATTAACTTGAAAAGCAAAAAGGTATCGATATTATGATCTTACTTGTTCATATATTTATATATATGAAAAGTTGTTTTACTTAAAGGTTTTGGTGATGTTCACCCTGCAATAACTTAAATAAGGTAACTTACTAGACCTTTTGGTCTAACCCTCGTTTTGTGATTTTAATTATGTATTGCAGGAATTACTGAATGTAAAGGGAAGGGAAAAATATAATAATTTTCCCTATATGCTTATCTGTATGAAGATTTGACTATGATGTATAATTTTGATTGATGAACGTTGATTAGTACAAGAAATGTATTTTGAATTTTTTGGACATGTATTTTGTATGATAAATTCCTGTACTAAGGGACCTGGGTGGTAAATAAACGTGTAATTCTTCTGTATGAAGTATGTGTTACATGAGTTATGTGGAATGGGGCGTTACAACCTGAGTGGTAAATAAACATGTAATTCTTCCGTATGAAGTATGTGTTACTTGAGATATGTGGAGTGGGACATTACATTGAAGATATTCAGAAATAGTGCGATTACCTTTGGGGTTTTTAACCAATTTGGATTTGAGTGAGATTATTCGGGAACGTGAAACACTGGCAAAGCTTGAGTTTAACCGTTCCCAGGCATCTCTGGCAGTAGTTGCAGACGAGATAAGGGGCTAAATTGATTCCGAGCAGCTTCCAAGGATTGCTTTGAGGAGGATTTGGTCTTGTCGATACCAAGATAGGTATTCTGGATTTGCCTTGTCGTCGATTAATTTCTTTGGCGGTTCATGGCTGCCATCGATGAACGCTTCAAGTTCTAACCCGATTAGGGTGGATTCCACTTGTTTGCGCCAAACAGGAAAATTGACAGAGGTGAGTTTAATGGGGAAGTGGGTAGCGGCAGTTAGTTGAATGGTTGGAGCCATTGATAGGTGCTTGAAGGTAATTTAGGGTTTCTGTGAGAGGGATTGAGAATTGCTCAGAGGAGCCTTTATGGCTCTGATACCATATAATGAGATTGAGGAAAAATAATATTGTATTGAATTCAATTGTATCAAAACTGAATACATGGGAGGTTTATATAGATGATAAAAAAAATATTGTATTGAATTCAATTGTATCAAAACTGAATATATGGGAGGTTTATATACATGATATACAACAATGGAAAGGAGTAATTACAGAAGCTATCTAAGGAGCTAAATGAAGAACAATATTTGACAATAATGACCATTTGAAAGCATTAAATCAAATGATTGGACCAATTATGTTATTGGTCTTAATACAAACAATGGTTTACATAGTTATATTGCTTTTTTAATTTTCAAAAGAATTACATGTTTATTTTTATATATAATTATCATACCTTATCAATGTATCAATTTTTCATCAATGTGGGGTTTCTAAAAACTAATCACAATGCAAGATTTTAAAATACATTATTTTCAAGATGTCATCTTTTTATATGGAATCAGCAAACTACATTTCAAGATTTAAGAAATAATCAACTTTGTTTTGTCAATATTTTATTTTCTTACCGATGTAGGAAAACTAAACGACAATATAATTCAAGACTTTGAAAATACTCAAATATTATAATGTCATACAACTTGGATTGTTGTTATTTTGTAATAAAAAACTATCACTCCAAAATTAAAGGTCAAACAAGGGCTTTTTTGGTTATATTGTTCTTTTAATTTTTGAAAGCATCACATGCTTATTTTATATATACTTATCACACTTTATCAATGTATCATTTTTCATCAATGTGGGATTTCCAAAAGTCAATCACAACGCAAAATTTTAAAATAAATCAGTTTCAAGATGTCATCTTAATATTTTAAAGTCATCTTTTTATATGGAATAAGCAAACTTAAACACATTTCAAGATTAAGAAATATACAAATATCATATTGACAACTGCAAGTGAAATGGTCGACTTATTTGAGCCAACAACATGACTTGCAACAAATAAATCACCTCCACTTTTCATACATACATATATATACACACACACACACACACACACACACACACTCTTCATTCCTTCTTTTTTTTGTCAATATATTATCTTCTTACCAATGTAGGAAAACCAAACAACATTATAATTCAAGACTTTCAAAATACTCAACTTCGATTATTGTTCATCTATAATAATAAAAACTATCACTTCAAAATTAGAGGACAAACAATGACTTACATAGTTATATTGCCCTTTTAATTTTCGGAAGAATCACATGCTTATACATATACATACATATATATATAGACTTGGGATCATGTGAGACTAGCCTGTTTCGTGAGACCCATGAGACCAACATTTTACACTTGAAACTTCACAGCAAAATGCTGTGAAGGTGACTTTTTTTAACCTTCACAGTGTTTTTGCTGTGAAGGTTCGACTTTTTTTAAACCTTCACAGTGTTTTTGTTGTGAAGGTTCGACTTTTTTTAACCTTATATAGGGTTGGGTTCACGTGAGACCAGCCTGTTTTCGTGAGACCC